AGAGAAATGAAATAGCTATTTTATGCCGCCATTGTCAAAAATTTTTCTTAAATAATATTTTAAAATAAAAATAAATTTATAAAAGTGCGATCAGGTAATATACATACCTATATTTAACATGAAAAATTAATTTTATATACAGTAAGTAAATCTATTACATTTACTGGTTTTTCATAAAAAAAAATTAATAATCTATTAAAATAACAGTGAAAATATTTTAAAGTTGTATTTAAAATTGTAGTTAATACGAATTCTAACCTAAACATCTTTTAAAATTGTAGTTAAATAAAGCATATTCTAACCTAAACACCTCTCAAAAAGTAATACCGACACTCAAATGTATCCAATAAAACACCTACCGAAAAATGAAATTATGACGAAAAGCTAGAGAATGTAGGCCATTGAATGACCCATGTCCTTTGTACATACATGTGAAACTATATATTACTAAGTTTATAAAAAATAAAAAAATAAAAAAAAATAAATAAAGTTTACTAAATCAGAGGAATGAATTAGCTATTTTTGCCGTAAGTGCCAAAAATTTTACTTAAATAATATTTAAATATAAAATTTTAAAAATCGTAATAGACATATACTTGATGTGGAAAAATAATTTTACTTACAGTAAGTAATTCTAATACATTTACTAATATTAAATGAAATATAGTCTATAAAAACTAACAATGAAAATGTTTTAAAGTTGTAATTAAAATTGTAGGTAATTAAAATGAATTCTAACCTAACCTTTTTTTAAATTGTAATTAAATAAATAAATAAAGTTTACTAAAACAGAGAAATGAATTAGCTTTTTTTGCCGTAAGTGCAAAAAAATTTTACTTAAATAATATTTAGATATAAAAATTTTTAAAAATCGTAATATACTTGATGTGATAATAATCCTACAAACTGTAAAGGGATTCTAATTACATTTAATTGTTCTTGAAAGAAATATAGTATATTAAAAATTAAAAGTAAAAATATTTCAAATCGTAGTTAAATAAAAAAAGTATTCTAACCTAAACACCCCCCAAAAATCTTTAAATATACGAAGAAAAAAATGCCGTAAGAATTTTTGCCGTTAACAATAAAATTAAAAAAAAAATCCAGACGACACGCTTTTAACAGATGTTAGATTTCATTGAAAAATACATCCCTACCCACTACCAAAACGTAGCAATAACTGATACATTAAAATATAGACATAATGAACACCCAGACACCCCTCGTCTAGTAAAATGGATTCATCTGTAACCTTGGAAACATGAATCATGATTTTAGCTGTGTCTTTAAAACCCAGTAATTTTAAAAGTTACTCCAAAATTCGCTTGAGGATGAAATGGAACTAATGTCTTTAATTTAATTACAAAATTAAATTCGGGGCTTTTAGCTTCCATTTTTGAAACATGGTTAGAACTGTGTAGCGGAAAAAAACATATTTTAAACCAATTAATTTATAATATATATATATATATATATATATATATTAGTGGTCAAGACGCATATTTTCTATAAGAATTTTTCGGACATTCAGGCCGGTAAATGTTGTTAATACTGTTTATTATAAACAGAGCATTTACTTAAATATTTTTATCTATAAAAAAAGAATGAACATAAAAATATCTTTATATATATATATGTGTGTGTGTGTGTGCGTGTGGCCTTTGTATGTAAGGAAGAAAGATCAACCATATATTTTTTATATTTGATCATTAATTAATAATTACATTCTAATATATTTATTTGTAAAAATACTGTGTAGTCTGTTAGCTATTAGAAAGACGAATACTATTTTCAATCTGTAAGAATAAAATTTAAATATTAAAAATCTGACTTACACATTTAAATGACCCTTTTAGAAAATCTTTGTGTATAAAATAGGTACCTCCATGAGATCGCTAAAAAAAGAGCATAGCATGATGAAAAGACGCCAAATTTGACGTAAACAAAATTTTATCGTCTAAATGTTTATATTATTATCAAAAGAGGAAAGATCAAACTTTATTTTTTTTTAAATTTTCTTCTTTTTAGAATATTTTAAATTTTGATTTTAAAAAAAAGCCTTGTTTCTCTTTCTATCACCAGAACTAATAAATAACATATACAATTTTTAGCGCGTTATGTATGTGTGTGTGTGTGTGTGTGTGTGTGTGTGTGTGTGTGTGTGTGTGTGTGTGTGTGGCACACATTAATTTGGAAAATCTTGCAAAAATAAAAATAATTGTCGGATGTTAATGAACCTTTCAGAAACTATTCACAGATGATCGAAATTATTATAAATATTGTTTTTTTTATTAAAGTCAGGGCAGAAATATTTTTTTATATTTATTACCCTCCCCCATAACTAATTTTATGAAAATGCTAGAAATTCGATCGCATCGGGTTTAGTGATTACAATAGTTAAAAGAACAAAGCTTTGAGGAACGCAAATCAATTTTTTTTTAAGTACGTTTTTTTTTTAATTACGTGAAAATCAGCTCTGAATTGTAACATACAAAACTCAATAAATTCAAAGATATTATTTAATTTCAAATGCTTTTATTTGCTTTTAGTTGTTTTTATGAATATGGACAATACTTTCTGAAAGCAAAAAAATCTTTCGATGAAAAATGAATTTTCGTACAATTATTTGTTATTTTTTAATTATAATACATTTTTACATTTAAGTTGTTAAAATATTATAAAATTAGTTAAAATGAGATAGATCTTTTTTTAGCGCGTTGTAAATTGTATCATTTTGACTAATCAGAAAATCCGCAGTAATTAAAAAGTGTCATTTTGTGTTTATAATCGGGCTGTAATTATAAAGTACAAAAGATCAACCAGAATACAAATAAGTTGCTTTATTTGGGTTAAGCATTGTTCTCCGCTATTAAGGCCTTTACTTTTGTGAAACACATGTGGAGAAGTTAATTTGATTTTTCAATTTCAACTGAGAAGGGTACCTACAAGTATCACTATCATCTTATGAAATTTATATGATCTTATTTTTATATTAATCTCACTTATGACATTTTTCCATAAATGAAATATCAAAATTAATAATAAAATGAATGGAAATACAAATAACAAAGTAAAATGTAATAAATATACATAAAATTATAGTATTTTATGTACACTTCTGATAAAATTTCATAAGAAAGGTACCTATAAATTAATCAGATACCTTTCTTATGAAATATGAAACTTAATCTCACTCTTAACATTCTTATTTTAATTTCTTTATAATATATTTTCCATAAAGCATCGTAAACGTAAAGGTGAAAGATAAGTACAACAAAAAATTAGAGCGCTGAAAGTTTTCCTTAAAAATTACGAGGTAAATAATTTGTTCACTTAAATGTAAATAATTTCATATTTCTCCTTCCGTAGAACAAATTATCCTCACGGAATCCGTCAATATGTCATTCATCACGTGTCAAGTGACGCAAAAGTTTATGACCTGCTTTGTTTTATTTTCAAATTACATCTTTTCGGCGCAGAAGCTAAGTCAACCTTGGTTCAAAATATTTTAAATAAACATTATAATTTCTGATTTTCTTAAAATAAGTTTTGAAAAATTGATAATTGATTTTTAAAAGAATTTCAAAGTGAGATTTTCATTTTTTTTTATAAAATGGAAAAAAAATGATCAATTATCTGTCAATTTTGCTGACTCAATAAAAAACAAGAATTTAACGAAAATTTCGGACGCGCTAAGAATGACTAAAAAAATGTAAAAATATACCACAAAAATACTTTAACAAACAGCTAGACGATAAAATTTTGTTTACGTCAAGTTTGGCGTCTTTTTCATCATGCTATGCTCTTATTTTAGCGATCTCGTGGAGGTACCTATGTATAAAAATATGAATTAAGCAGATGAATAAAAATGCCAAACATTTTTTTTTTTTGGCATTGAAAACCCAGACGACTCGCTGAATAACGGATGTACACGTTTGTTAGCAGGCACCCCCACCTAAACTCAACCTGGCTTTATAAGTATCATATATTGGATACATAAGCTGTCTAAGGAAATTAAAACCTTACCACGCTTTATCAAAATAGATTGAATTTTCCATTACCCTAACTCAATATTAATATTGCCTGCGCTTATAAATTAAGTAAATTTCTTCGAAAGTTATTCTTAACATAGCTTAACAATGGAACGAAACTATGGGTTTTTCATAATTACATTTATAAATTTAGTTTCAGTTCTGAAACAGGGAAATTTTGTTTCTCGCCGTAGAATTATATTTTTAAAAAGAAAATAATTATAATATTTTGCTTTACTGTTTGTATCGAGTACTTCTTTTTTAAAATAAAAATAATTGTTAAGAACACCGGCTTAGAAATTTTACTGCACTTTCTATTATTTTAATATATATATATATATATATATATATATATATATATATATATATATATATATATATATATATATATCAACAACTCCCTATACTTAATACTTGTCGTTTTCACTCTCGCGTGGTCATGTGTGACGTCACGAGCTGCGACGCGATTTTTGCTTCCGTGTCTCGTATACACTAGATAGTCGTTGCTTTGAAATTTTTCATGCAACAAAAACAGACTATCATTATTGTTCCGTGTATTGGTTGATATATTGAAAAGTAATTGTCATCTTTGATAATGGCTTATGTAAGCCGAAAGCTTTGATTGGATTTAAACATGTATCAATATGGTGATTATTTCCTTTCGTCTTTCAGTAATCATGTTATTAAGTTTATCAGACAATATGAAAGGAACTTACTTAAAATAAATAGACTAAACTTGTCTATATTATTTAATGAAACATGTATCAATAATAAATTGCTGCCTAAATATAGACAATTTATATATATATATATATATATATATATATATATATATATATATATATATATATATATATATCAAGGACATTTTAAAGACAGATCAAATTATCCAATATCCAATGCAGAATCTCCCGATGGAGAGAATTTAAAAAAATACAAAATGTCTTTCACCCTCCCTTATGGCCTGAAATGAAATACGTTCTTTTATTTGGTTAGATATTAAGATAAATGCTTCAAAAATATCAGCTTAGAAATCTCGCAGTTTCTCGCGAGATTTAGCGTTAGCATCAGTGTTTCTCTACGATACTTTCCTCTCTCGCCTTGTCGTGTGTATTTTGTAGAGAATGTTTTTTTTTTCTGCTCTGCTGATTAAAATGCAAATCGGTTATTATAATTTATTTTTTTCTGACAAGAAATGAAGTAAACTTTAGTATTTTTTTTTTTATTTTTCATTTCATATGCTTTTTTTTATCCTGCTCTCTCCATGTTTCCTCTTTTTGATTCCATATTTTCGTTAGCCATTTTTTAGGCGTGAATATTTTACTTTCAAAAATCTACCACCAGACGATTTCAGTCTTTCTTTCTTTTTCTTTCTTTCTTCGTCTCTACCTTTTTTTTTTACTTTTGCATTTTTCTATCGGTTACTTTCTTTTTTCTTTCTTTCTTTTTAATTTCTGGCTTTTTAATTCCAACCGTCTTTACATTTTATATTTTGTTTCTTTATTTTGCTTTTGTTTTCTCTTCTTTTTTTATTTCTTCAGAATTTTCAATTACAAGTTATCGTTTCTTTCTTTTTCTTTCTTTCTTTCTTTCTTTGTTCGTTTCGATTGCCATTTTCTGTCTACATTTTATCCTTTCTTTCTTTTTTTTTCTTTAACATTCATTTTTCATCTATATTGTCTTTTCCTTTAAACCTTTTACCTTCCTTCCTTTCTTTCTTTCTTTCTTTCATTCCCACCTTCTTTCTTTCTTTCATTCATTCATCCATTCCTGCTTTTTTTTTCTTCTGCCTTTGGCTTTTTTTTTTTTTTCTTCCCTCTTTCTTTCTTTCCCATTCTTTTTCCATTCCTATTGACTTTTTCTTCTACCTTTATTTTTCGTTCTTTCTTTCTTTGCTTCCTTCCTTCTTTCTTTCTTTCTTTCTTTCTCATCCGTTTTTCATTCCTGTTGCCTTTTCCTTCTACTTTTTAGGTCTCTTTCTTTCTTTTTTCTTTCCCATTTCTTTTTCATTTCATTCTTTCCCATTCCTTTGTCATTCCTATTGTCTTTTCATTCAACTTTTAGCTTTCCTTCTTTCTCGTTCTTTTTTCATTCCTATTGACTTTTTCTTCTACCTGCTTTGCTTCCTTTCTTTGTTTCTTTTATTCTTTCTCAGTTCTTTTTCATTCCTACTGTCTTTCCTTCTGCCTTTAGCTTTCTTTCTTTCTTTCTTTCTTTCTTTCTTTCTTTCTTTCTTTCTCCTTGCTTCTAGTTTTTCTTTTAATCTATTCTGCATTTCCACTTTCTTTCTTTCTTTCTTTCTTTCTTTCTTTTTTTTCTTTCTTTCTTTCTTTCTTTCTTTCTTTCTTCTCCATTTTTATTCATATTGTATTTTCCTGCTACCTTCTTTCTTTCTTTCTTTCTTTCTTCTCCATTTTTATTCATATTGTATTTTCCTGCTACCTTCTTTCTTTCTTTCTTTCTTTCTTTCTTTCTTTCTTTCTTTCCCCTTGCTTCTAGTTTTTCTTTTAATCTATTCTGCATTTCCACTTTCTTTCTTTCTTTCTTTTTCTTTCTTTCTTTCTTTCTTTCTTTCTTTCTTTCTTTCTTCTCCATTTTTATTCATATTGTATTTTCCTGCTACCTTCTTTCTTTCTTTCTTTCTTTCTTTCTTTCTTTCTTTCTTTCTTCTCCATTTTTATTCATATTGTATTTTCCTGCTACCTTCTTTCTTTCTTTCTTTCTTTCTTTCTTTCTTCTCCATTTTTATTCATATTGTATTTTCCTGCTACCTTCTTTCTTTCTTTCTTTCTTTCTTTCTTCTCCATTTTTATTCATATTGTATTTTCCTGCTACCTTCTTTCTTTCTTTCTTTCTTTCTTTTTTCTTTCTTCTCCCTTTTTATTCATATTGTATTTTCCTGCTACCTTCTTTCTTTCTCTCTTTCTTTCTTTCTTTCTTCTCCCTTTTTACTCATATTGTATTTTCCTGCTACCTTCTTTCTTTCTTTCTTTCTTTCTTTTTCTACTTTCTCCTAATTCTTCCTCTTTCTCTATTCTTCTGTGTTATTTTTCTATCTCTCTTTTACTTTTTTTCTTCTTTCTTTTCTTCGTGCTTCTCTCAAATTTATCTTTGTCTTCCCCATCGTCCTTGCAGTCTTCATAATTACCCGACTGGCAGCTTCAAATGTTCATGATGAATTATTTATTATTCTTGTATTTGTTTCTGAAAGAAACATGGCTGTATGACGTCAGTACGTTCTTCCACAGCGATTGGCTAACGAGTCCTGTACGATTCCTGATACATGCCGAGTACGCCCGTGAACGAGTCGAGTCTATAAAATAAAAACTGAACATTGGTAGTGAATGGTTGACCCCAGGCCACAGAATCACAAAACAAAAATGCCGAGGAGCTAAGTCACATGCTTTAGTCTATGTCTTCTACCAGCTGCAATCATAAAATGGACGTTCTGTTTTTAGACATCTTATCTAACAGAAGGATGCTAAGAATAACATAGATCGAACATGTGAGCAACCAGGAAGTTTTTAGATAAAATGGACAGAATAAGGATACTGATATTTAACATGAGGAAGAAACAGCTGAAATTTCTAGGGCACATACTGAGAAAAAAGGGCTTGTAAAATTTTATATTCACAGAATAGATACCAGTTCTTGTACGGTCACCAAAGTTAAGCAACGTCGAACCTGTGAATAGTTGATGATTTGGGAATACCAGATGCTGTAAGCTCGGGAGTGCAGTTGATGTAATGGATAACGACTCGCAATGGTAAATCGGAGAGACGAGTTCTAATTCCAATCGGGTTCGTTATATTTATATACGCGAAAATACCCTAGGGAAATGTGTGAACATCCCTCTTCTAAGCTATGGGCCAATTAGTTGGACTTGTATCCGTAAATCATTATTATCTCCAAGAATATTCTTACAGTATTTCTCTCAGCTGACTTTCCGTCCTTAAACAGAGTCTTGACTGATTCATACTCTGCTTGAAGACAGAGAACTTGACAATCACGAGCCAGACAGCGGACTGATGGATATTCAGCCGTCGCTCCATTGTCAAGTTTACTGTGGGGATCCCGAGAGTTTCCACCCGAGACACTAGCCAAAATTTACCCTGCCCCCAGCAAAAGCGGGCTCGGGTACAGTACTTATCTGTATTTCTCAGCCGAGTCTCTATTCGAAAGCTAAATCCTAACTGAGTCACCTGTCCGAAGACAGAGGTCTTGTTAGTCGCAAGCAAACTGCCTGACTACAACTTGCTTGTTTTTCTCAGGCGGGTCTCTATCAGAACACAAAAACCCAGATGTATCACCGAAAATGGTGGTCTTGTCACCCTCCACCCAAAGGCAGATGTCTTGTCTTATCGCGAGCATGGGACTGACTGCGACAAACATCCTCTGACTTACTTTGAGTTCTTTATTTAAGACGTTTTGCCTAGTTCATTTATGTTACCGGAGGTGTTTTATTTACTGCACAACAGGTTATATATTTCCTACGTACCAGGGCAACATTTATAAAATTTGATATTCTGAAAATAAAATAATAGATGACCCTTCTGTACCAAGCTGATTCAAAAAGAATTGTGCGACTTGTCCCTTGAAATAAAGCATGAGAGTAATCGACTGTCATTTTACGATATCTCTTCTTTTATGTATCGACACTCTTCAGGAGAAGGTCCTCCATGATTTCCTATCTGGTGTAGCTCTAAGTTACCTTTGACCCTTTACCCTTCCTCTTTTCCTCTGTTCTACTATCCGTTCATGCCAAGTCGTTAAGTATTTTACTCACTGTTGCCCCTGCTTTTTTTCCCAGCATTATGTCCTCTAACTATATTTCCTAATTATTGTGAAGTCTGCTACTAGGAAAGGTGGTTCCCTGTAGCCTGATGAACAATTTTCCTCACCAGAATCTATTTTACATATCAAAAAGCTATCACTCGTCCATGCTTTGAATGTTGTGGCCATATTTGGACTGGTACTCTTGCAGTATAGTCACAGATTCGTCATAAAATTGAAAGAAGAATCCGCAATGTTATTGGTCCTGAGCTGTCACCTCGGTTTGAGTCGCTTTTCATACTTTGTATCTTTTCTAACAATAGTTTCTTGATAACTGTTCGGATTAGTTTTCCAGTATGTTTCCTACACTTTATGAATTTAAGCGCAGATCAAGTTGGGCGGCAAAGTTTCATCATTATACCGTTAAAATGTCTAGATGTGGCCGTAGGTTCTATGGTAAAGTTTGTTCTCGCTCATCTCGCTTATTGGAACTCTCTTCCGGCTTCTTACTGCCCAAACAACTTTGATCTTAAAAATTTAAATGCAATGTCAATTGTTATCTACTGTCTTTCTGATTACTCTTCTATTGTTCTCACTCAATTTTCACTTGTGGAACTCTCTTCCGGCTTCTTGATTTCCTGTCAACTTTGATCTTCAAAAATTGAAATGCAATGTCAATCGTTATCTACTGTCTTCCTGATTACTCTTCTATTGTTCTCGCTCAATTTTCACTTGTGGAACTCTCTTCCGGTTTCTGGCTTTCCTGTCAACTTTGATCTTTAAAAATTTAAATGCAATATCAATCGTTATCTTCTGTCTTCTTAATTCCTGTTTTTTAATCTTATATCCGATTAATAGTAGTTTTTTTCTCATGATCTCTAACACTCAGTAACCCTTTCCGTATTAGTGGCTTTATTGCCTTGCCTGGGGTGAAATTAGTTATTAAATGTTCATATGATTGAGTGGCGAACGATATTATGCAGGACGAGTGATTTTTATCAATATTAGGTTGAGTTATAATGAATTTATTTTCTTTATTATCAATTTGATTTTTCAAAAGATAAAATATACAATTTACATTTTTTTTATTCACTTCTGGAATTTATTTGCAATAATCTGTTGTCGCTTATCAGGCTTATCATCTCTTCGAGAATGTTTTAAGTAAAATTCCCCAGGTTTTGATACGAAAAGGGTTTTCAACGAAGCTGATTGACATTATAGAATGTCTTCTCCGCTGAAGCGTTTGAGAACGATCGTAAAAGATAATAATCGGTTAGTGTAAGGCCTGTTGAATATGGCGGGCGAGGTAAAACAAACTAACCGAGTTCGAAACTTTTCTCCCATGGTGTTCTTGTTTGTATGCGGCCTGGCGTTGTCCTAGTGGAGAACGACATGTTTCCTACTGTCGAATGCGAGGCGCTTTTTGACCAAAACGTTTATGAACAGTGTAGCTGTCATTACAATTGGTTCCCCAAATTGGAAATCCTTTACCATATCATGACCCGGGACTTGAGCAACGTAGTAAATTGTTCACTGAAGGAATATGGCTCACAAAAGAAGAACTGATGGTAAAGGATCAAAAGGAACAAAAGGAAGTTGTGGAGAGCCACGATCCGTTACGTTTCGAAGGGACATGGTACATAAAGGAAGAAAAAGTGAATGGATGGCAGAACAGGAAAAAATGAAGAATTCTAAAAGGGTCAAAAAGTTAAATAGCATGATATGGCGGGAAGTTTTCGAGAGCCATTATCACAAACGTCGAGAAATGACATCGCACATAAGAGAAGAAGAGAAAGTGAATATATGGCAAAAGCGGAAAAAAGGATGGTAAAGAGACAAAACTTACTTAAAAGAACAAAGAACAGGACGTTGTGGAGAGCCATGATCACCCAACTCCTGAAATGAAATCGCACATAAAAGAAAAGTAAATGGATGGATGGCGAAAGCGGACAAAGAACGGTGGTAAACGCACAAAACGTATTCAGAGCAACTAAGAAAGGGACGTTGTGGAGGGCCATGATCACGCAACTCTTGAAATGACATCGCATATATAAGAAGAGAAAGCGAATAAATGACAAAAGTGGAACAAAAACATGGTAAATAGACAATATTTACTTAGAGTAACTAAGAACAGGAAATTGTGGAGGGCTATGATTACCTATCTCCTGAAATGACATCGCATATAAAAGAAGAAGAAGCGAATGGATGGCAAAAGCGGAACAATGAACGATGGTAAAGGAACAATATTTATTAAGAGCAACAAAAGACAGGAAGTTATGGAGAGTCGTGTGACGGTTACACACCTGGCCCAGGGTCGGATCCTTTGGTTACGGCGCCAACGGTGACGTCGCTCCTCCTGGTCGCTCCTCCTGGGTCCAAGCGTGCCGCTCCAACCCCCTGGTCAGATGATCACCACCCTCGCCTTTCCCGACTCGCTTCCAATACCTGGTCACTAAAGCAACTGTACCGATCTCCGGTCTGTCTACCCACGCTGTGTTTAGATCTTAGACAGACGGGACCAGCAGGGATTGGGGCCGATACAAGTTGAGTCCGACGGGGTGGCAAAACACAAATAAAAGAGAAAATAAACTCACGAGACAAAAAGATTGCTGATGAAAAAAAATGGGTAACAACCTTTTTATATCTTAATGTCCGTTACATAAAAACAAAATTGTTCTCATTTCCCAACCCGCTCTGTGGACTATGGCACCAAGCTTCTATCACACAACCTAAAGATTTCGAATTGCCTACTCTTTAGAATTGTGTATGTCGGAGTGTGGTTTGGTTCGACACTGGGGCTAATTTCTATCGATCATTCGCAGTTGATTCTTCTCTTCGACTTGAGTTGTATTTCTTCTTCTTCGTCGACTTAGGCTGGAAGTTCTCTTGTCTTCGACTTGGGTTGTATTTCTTCTTCTTCGTCGACTTAGGCTGGAAGTTCTCTTGTCTTCGACTTGGGCTGGAAGGATCTCTTGCCGCAACTCAGCCGCAACTCTCTGTCGTCCGAGGTGATCTCTTCTCGCTGCCGTCCGGGGCTGAACTCGACTTGGGCTGGAAGGATTTCTTGTCTGAGGATTCTTTTGCCCGCAAAGGGGCGAGTGAATCGGGCCCGATGCCCGCGTTCAGGCTCTTTCCTGCCCGCGGTCCAGCTGCAACTCCCTCCAACTGATTTCTGTCGACTGGGGTCCTGCTTTTATTGACGCCGCAGCAAACCGGGGTGGGTCTGTCGGCGTCAGGGTTTTCT